GGTCAGCCAAGCCACAACTATGAGACTGAAATATCTCGACAACTATTGGATTGATTACCGTGGATTTTTTTTTAGAGACATTCATGTTCCCCAGTGGATGAATCCTACTGACTCTGGTGACCGCCTGACTTTTCATTTAATCAAATATGATCAGTTGTTTAGTTTAAATTCCTAACTTTGTGTTCAGTGCTTATGTTATCATATCATATCATATCATATCATATCATATCATATCATATCATATCATATCAAATCATAACACAAATAAAACCAGTCAAAGATCTTCTGCATTCTGTCCTTATACACCACCTTGGATAGTACCGTGTGCATTTATTCCAGTGTGTTAGCGCCACTGTGCCTAAGTACCAACTCACAGAGCAGCTAGCGTGGCTGTAGTCTCGGCCACGTGTCATTGACATCCATCCAAGTTCCTTGTTAAAGTTCACTGAGCAGTCCCTCTTGGAAGTTGTGATGTGGGCGATCGCAACAATTAACCCAACTTTTCAACCAATCCCTGTGAAATGCAAAAGTTGCACCAATCATAACAGTCATTAAGCCATACATCCCCAAACTACAAACAATGTTATTCTCAATGGAACAGGATGCTTTCGATTAATTACACAAAACAAATTGCAACTATTTTTTGCAATTTTCACTTTCTTTCACAATTTTATTGCAAAAAATACCTAAAACGTTACAACATGCCTTGTACTTATTTGGAAAAGCTACCATGAAAGGTTGCAACAATCCACCCAAAAAAGTTGTGGAATCCTAGAGGGGTTGACTGAGAAACACTTTAAACTGCTTTACTTAAATAGTTGTGGCTTGTCATATTGTTTTTTTAATGATTGATTGACTGTTTTTTAACCTTAATTTGATCAGAGCAGCTGAAGACTGACAGGAAAGTGGGGATGATATGCAGCGAAGGGCCGTAGGTTGGACCCGAACCCAGACCACTGCAGTAAGGACTCAATCACAAGACCAGTATCATTATGCAAAGAGGGCAAAATATTAGAAATATTACTTTTGAATCCAATACAGCTTAAAAAATATACAATTGAACTGAATCAAGTTGTCTCCACTAAACTTTTTAAGTAAGGTAGCATGGCTGTTGCACTGCATTACATCATTGGTGTTTCTATATTTCAGGACCCTTTAGTGTATAAGAGCACCTCTAAACAATAAATATTAGATAAAGTGCACAGATAAATAAAACACACAAGAAAATATATACAGATTCACACACGTACACAAACATTACTTCATATCATGTTGCAGGGATCCAAACAATGCACACTCTACACACCCCATAAAAACAATCAGTGTGACTGCTCATATGAAGAAGCCAGGGTGCCACAAAGGCATGTTTGAACCTGATCACGTTGTATTTTGGGTGCAAGAATATGAGCTGTGTCAGACACAAATCCATCTGCACGTCCTGTGCTCATAGATCTAGTAAAGAGGCAGGTGTTGCTGAACCCCTGTCATGTTCTCACAGTGTATTTCCAGTCAGTTGGGAGGTACGTGTGATAAGAAAATGGCGTAATGGATTTTTAGGTTAACCACTGGCTTGATATCATCCTTTTGATATTCAAGATAAGAAACTTTTTTCTGCACCATTACACAAATCTGTCTTTTGCAGAGTGGTGCACTGATAGATTTCTTTACTTACGTTACATATATCATGACTTGAAACAATGAATTAATTATAATTACACAGCCTAAACAGAAGATAGCACATCCCGGGAGGGTGTTCATACACTGACCGCTGTGTAAAACTGGAGTTAATGATACCACTTAACAATAAAAGAACTAAGACTAAGCTCTGTTAACTCCCTAATCGGTGAATGAGGCTATAAAGTTTATACACTGGAGCTAAAATCAACAAATCATACGTGTGAATGAGCAGTGGAACCCTCTAAGGTTTGGGGGGGGGGAAGATGCAAAGCAGAACTGATAGCATCATCTCTGCCTCATTTACATCTGCATGCAAAGTGCTCGGGATCCAATAGACTTCATCAGTTGTCACTTTTTTTTTTTTTCCGGCTGTAACAGTTGGAGCTTAGGTTGGTCTATCTAATAAAAACACTCTGTTATCAGTTATCATCTCGCTGCTGGTCTCCCTCAGGGATTCCTCACAGCTCTCCTGGTCGCATGCTGGATTTAAATGAGATGTTAAGCAAGTGGATTTCAACAGAAACTAACAAAGAGGTATTTTTATGTTTGGACTGAAGAACTAGAGCAGTGGTTTCCTCTTTTCTATCATTGAGTATACTGTGACATAAATGTATGGATATTATTCATATATTGCATTCAGTGCCTAACAATAACACAACATATCAACTGGTAAACTGCACAATTAACCCAAATGGTGAAAACAATCTGACACAAGTTTTTCTGACATTTTCAGGAACCTTTTACACATTTCTGTGTCTGTATAATGTATTTTTAACTATTATACATACTTAATTGGCTTGTTTTATTAGCTTTTTTGGACAAATTAAGGGCTTTTTATCTGTAAATATTGTGTTCAGGTCTTTTCGTTTAGATATTAAAGGTCCAGTGTGCAACATTTAGGAGGATCTATAGGCAGAAATGTAATATAATATTCATAGGTATGTTTTCATTGGTGTATAATCACCTAAATATAGGAACCGTTGTGTTTACGTTACCTTAGAATGAGATATTTTTATCTAGAGGCAAATCAAGAAGGAGTCTCGAGACCCAGTTTGGGAACCACTGAACTGCAGGATTTCTCCACAATGACAAGCATCTTCTCAACCTCAAAAATAGCACTCTGGAGTAGCAACAGGTGGTGGGTGGAGCTCTGGCTATGCACATGTGATAATACATAACAAGTATGTGTGTGAGAACAGTTGCACGTAAAGGCCTTCTTGCACATCACATTGTCGCGTCCAAAACTCTCACAGCTTCTAAACACACACACACACAGAGTTCACACCTGACAACTCTGTCCTTCCACCAAATAAGTTATCTTTCATCTAAATCCGTGCAGAGAGGAGATCCAAAAAAAAGATCTGGTTGATGTCACAGAATGTACCCTGTCTCCGATAACCCAGATCAGATAACCAGTTACATCAGTTTCTGTGGGGCAGGGAAGTCCCAGCCAGTGCTGGCATGGCATCACAAATGCCCAATCATTCATAAGAAGAAGAAAAAAAAGACTTCAGTGCAAGGGTGATTAGTTTCCCCCACAGTCTGCAACCGCTTGAGGCAAAAATAAAAATGTGTACCCTCCAAGAATCCTGGAAGCTGCCTGCAACCATAAAACTACCTTGGAAAGAAAGCAGGAATGGTGTCTTTTTTTAACTAACAGCTGAGATGTTCACTTTAATAAAATGTTTTGTTGTTACAATTCCAGCTCTCTCTCTCTCTCTCTCTCTCTCTCTCTCTCTCTCTCTCTGTGTGTGTGTGTGTGGTGTGTGTGTGTGTGTGTGTGTGTGTGTGTGTGGCCTGCTTGCTCTGTAGCACCAGCTTGTAAGAAGCTCTTCCTCCCATGAGGCCAACATGGTGTTATGGATTACATTCAGGGTCAGTGAGCACATCACCAGTCAGAAAAACTAAAACAAACTCCAGGTGAAAAGAGAATAAAATTCTATTAAATTCCTTTCATTTTATAAAATACGGTATTCATCCCGTAGGAGGAAGTTCAAGGCAAACGGGCGTGCAAACAGAAGTACGCATAGGAAATTAATTTACATACATAAAAATACACATGTGACAAGGTTAGAACAAGTTTAAATACACAAGGGTTAAATAGCAGTCAAAAGCTGCACCGGAAATATCCAACACAACCCATAAAATCACTAAAAAGTAACATTTTATTTATTTTAACGTGGCTGTTCACACGTCTAATTGCTTCTGGAATAAAACCAAACTTTCTTATATTTGCTTTACATGCATGCAATCCAAAACAAATCTGAATATTAAAGATAATTAAAAGAAATTACCCTTAAAATGACCTCAAATTAGCACTGACAGTCTCAAACAATTCAACATAACAAGCTTTAGAAAGCTCATTATTATCACACGTACAATAATTGGATTGGACTGGATTATGTTGTACAGGTGGTATTGTGTCTAACCCATGCTATAGTGACCCGTCGGGCCCCTTTTAATGTCCCCACTCTGTGTGCAGTGTGTGCTGGAATACTACCTGTTGTAATTTGATTAAACACAAATTAATTTAGGGGGAAATATGCAAAACAGAAAGCATGAAACTGAAATAACAACGAGCAAAGGGGGGTCCCTCACAGCAGGACCCACCTCCAAGGCCCTCCAGGTGTGAGAGGATGTTGTGCTTTCTGATGCATAAGTATATTTTAAATTAAATTATACATAAACCTGTAGCCTTTTATGACCCTGTGCAAAAACACACACACACACACACACACACAAAAACAAGTACTGGTATTTTTTTGTGTCTATTCTATGGTACACACCAGATAAGCAAAAAAAAAAAAAAAAAAAAAACCCTGCGATTTTTAACACAAATTCTCTTCATTTTCACCACAAAAGTGGAATTCATAGAATCAACCATCACTTCCTGTTTACAAATCATAAATTCATCCTTTTTTTCCACTTCATCAGCCAAACTTACTCACTATAGAAGAAACAGGTAGTTGTGGGGATGATTTAATATCGATTTGTGTACACTGGCCTCGTCCTGCTTAAATTATCACGTTATATTCAGCTTTGTGAGGGGGTTTAATTTAGCTCTACGTGTGTGTCTATGTGTGTGTGTGTGTGTGTGTGTGTGTGCGTGTGCGTGTGTGTGCGTGTGTGAAGCAGGAGGACAATGCTGCGGTTCTTCGCTGAATGCGCGTCAACGGAATCCCGGAGTGCGTCATCGGACGTCTATTCTCTCGAACGCGCGCTGTGATTGGTCGACGCGTGGAAATCTCCCCGCCCACCGCCTTGTATGGAAACCTTTCTCTGGCGTCATGGGTACAATAGGGCTATTAGTATAAAAGTGTTGTCGAGCCGCGAGCGGAGGGACTGCTCCTCAGCTGGGAAACACTGAGGATGACAGACGGTCGTTTGTGGAGTACAGACAGCTCAAAACACTTGTAGACGGATCCGAAACACAGGTAAGAAATATTTATTGTTTTTATTATTTTATGATATATGTTTATATTTTATTTTAATACAGTGGACTTGAATGCGGAAACAACTTATTTCTTTACTTATTTTTAAACGATACTGACACTGGCGTTAAGAAAATGTAAATGAAACATAAATCAGCCACTATTTCCCAAGTTATTGGGGAAAATAGTTTGCATAAATATTGTATTTTGCTATTTACATATGTACCAAAGTGAGCTTGAATTGTAGAATAAAAGTCTGGGAATCAAAGTGCAGCAGGTGAGGTCGCCCCAGTGTTTTTCTTAGGTAACGTTAACATGTGCCTCATATGTTGGCTCTGTGCCCGCTGTCTGAAAGTCAACACCACTACTGTACCTCCAGGCATGTGCAGCTGACCGTATTATTACATAGTAATATATGATCAGATTATTTAAGACTGTGAAGAGCAGAACACTTTCTAGGTTTTATCATAAAACGAATGTAGGCTAATTCATTTCTGTGCAGTTTCAAATTACATTATGAAATGCCTTTGAGGTGGTACATGCATTGTTACCTTATCTTGAAGTCTGAGCTGCCACAGAGCCTGTCTGTAAATACTGTACAGAGAGCACACATAGGAGGAAATTAGGTCGCCCATTTTTGCCCCAGGGACCCCCAGCAGGTTAACTGACCATTGCCTGACAGTTAAAGATAAAGATCTGTAAAACAAGCTCCTGTGACTCTAACAGTTTTTATTACGTCCTTTTCAGTCTTGCAGCCATGACTTGCATACACCCCCAGCATGGATCTCAGCCCTGTGAGTTCAACCTTGGCAGCTCGGAGCTTCAAAGCTCAGACTTCATCTCCAGGCTGGCTGTCGATATGAGCAGCTCACGGGACCACCTCACTGCTCCATCCCTGCCAAGCATCAACTCCCTGGTGGGCACTCAGGCGGGCGACTTCGATGCGTATTCGTGTCAGTTCACCACAGCCCCTGCCCACGTCCCTCCATCATCAGGCCAGGAGACCCCCTTCAAGCTGGATGACCTCCAGGTTTACGGCTGCTACCCTGGAACGTTCACGCTGAATTACCCAGACGAGGCCGCTTCCCCTGCCGGGTCAGATTATTTCGGCAGCCCCGCGTCAGCCTCGTCTCCTTCAACCCCCGGGTTCCAGGGTCAGCATGCATCCAACTGGGATTCAGCCTTCGGGCCATACTCACCCAGTCCAGGATACTGGGCAGCAGAGGAGACCTCAGTGCCACATGCGCCCTCTTTCTTCACTTTTGGCTCAGGATCTGTAGAAGATATGTCTCACATGGGTCAACCACGCTTACGAGAGCAGGATCCTTTCACTTTGACCCACAGTCACCCATCTGTGCTGAACTTCCCTGCCTTGGTGATGGATCAAGCGCAATGCCTTGATGGCACTGACCAGCTGGATGGGAGCTTATCACCCAAGTTAAAAAGTCCCAGTGGAAATGAGGGCTGCTGTGCTGTGTGTGGGGACAACGCCTCCTGTCAGCATTATGGCGTTCGCACCTGTGAGGGATGCAAAGGGTTTTTCAAGGTAATAAGATCTGACTTATCTATGCAGCCAATTGAAGATGGACTAAATGTCTCACTGAATGTTTTGTGCCAGTCCTTGAGACAGGTTTAGAGTGATTCTTCTTTTTATTTCACAGCGTACAGTACAAAAGAATTCCAAGTATGTTTGCCTTGCCAACAAGGACTGTCCTGTGGATAAGAGGAGGCGGAATCGATGCCAGTTCTGCCGTTTCCAGAAGTGTCTAACTGTAGGCATGGTGAGGGAAGGTAAGTTTGGCACAAACACAAATGAAAAACAGCGGGAGGATTTAGGACGGTAAACGCTGGACTGAAAGTAACAGTTGACATCTCCATTTGTCCAGTTGTGAGAACGGATAGCCTGAAAGGACGAAGAGGCCGCCTGCCGTCCAAGCCTAAAGTCGTCCAGGACGTGACAACAACCACTGTGTCTCCAGTGAGCATGATTGCTTCCCTTGTGAGGGCCCACATCGACTCAAACCCCAGTGTTGGGAAGCTTGATTACTCCAAGGTAAGAAACAAAAACAGAATCCCTATTTTAATTTTTTCCAACTCTTTTTGGAATATTTGATTACCAACGTTGGCATCTCCTTTAACTCCTCTGCTGTCTGCTATTTCAGTATGATGAGACAGAAGTCAGTCCGAACCAGAAAGAGGATGTGAGTGACATCAAACGGTTTTACGACTTACTCACAGCCTCCATGGAGGTCATCAGGAAGTGGGCGAAGAGCATCCCAGGTTTCCCTGAGTTCTGCTCAGAAGACCAGGAACTGCTGCTGGAATCTGCATTTGTTGAACTCTTCATCTTGCGTCTCGCTTATCGGTAAGGGCAGCTTCTTGCACATGTTTATGATACAACTTATATTCCTGATGCCTTGGACAAAAACAACAAACTATGTTGTTTTTTTTCTTTTGAAGTTCCAGTCCTGAAACGGACAAGATCATTTTCTGCAATGGGGCTGTGCTTCACAAAATGCAGTGTGTCCGAGGCTTTGGGGACTGGATCGACTCCATCTTGGAGTTTTCTCAGGCCCTCCATCGCATGAAGCTAGACATGTCCTCCTTTTCCTGTCTCACAGCCCTCGTCATAATCACTGGTAAGAGCTTCAGTCATCCCGTAACACTAACAAATCTAATTTTAGAGGCAGAGATAAACCCACCTTTATTGTCCCAACCAGAGTAACTTTTTTTCACTTTGCATGAGGGATTTGGTTCCATTCGTGTGCACAATACAAGGCAGTTACATAACACAAGATTGACATGACCTCATGTATAGTACAGACAAGATGCAATATATCAAAGCAGACTAAACATAGGTTACACTGCAGGTTTAAATTTAAAGCAAAGGAATTGTTCCAACATAGAAGCATTTAAACTGCCAACAGCACTAGTAGGTTTCCTCTTTAGGGCTGTAGTATTCCTCTTAATGTAGTTAATGTTTTGTATAAAGATATTCCAAATACAGACCAGAGTTGCAGCATCAGATTTGTTACTGTATGGTTTTAAAGTTTGCAGTCCCTATCATGAACATGTGTGTGTGTTATTCATATATAAAGTAAAAAATAATGATGCATAAGGCTCACTCTAACTCTAACATACATGTTATTTTCCTCTGCAGACCGGCATGGTCTTAAGGAGCCAGGACGTGTGGAGGACTTGCAGAACCAGCTCATCACCTGCCTTAAACATCACGTCTCTGGCTGCAGCTCCGACTCTTTGCGGCCCAATTATTTGTCCAGACTTCTCGGGAAGCTGCCCGAGCTCAGGACTCTGTGCACTCAAGGCCTCCAGCGTATCTTTTACCTTAAACTAGAAGATCTTGTTCCTCCTCCACCAATTGTGGACAAAATCTTCATGGATACGCTTCCGTTTTGAGTGTGAGATAGGAGATTAACCATCTGTGATATAAATTCTGGAGTTCATATGACAGCCAAAGGCAACAGACTGAGCACTGGTACTTCAGGTAGAATTAAGTAAAACTGCAAGAAGACAACAAGAAGAAGAATCCTAAGAGCTTCACAGGAAAAAGGGCTACTTCTGAATTATAAAGTGAATGAGTTATAAAACTTTCAGAAGCAACATGTATGTGGAGCTGCCACAAAACGCTCTTCCTAGTTTGTGTTTCTAGGATATTGTGTTCTCTGCAGATGGAATTAGGCCAGCTGATGGACCAAAATAACTGTTTACATACAACAAGGTGTCATGAATGGAAACATTTCTGATGGAGGGAAGATGATTTGCACTTTCTAAACAGTTTCAAATTGAATACAAATATTATCTGCACCACCATTTCAAGGATGCAATGAGAACAACAATTAGCTTCTTTTTTTAAAAAACAAAAAAAACCTATGTTTTGTTGGGATTTGCATGACTGTAAGTTGCACATAAAATATGCGACAAGGCATTATTTTTCTGTTCAGATTTTAATATATCAGGTGCTCCAACATGTTCAAACAAGCAAATCATTTCATAGAACCAACTTCCAGGCCCCAAAACTGATGTTCGGTGAGTCCAAAGCATCAGTCACTCAAATCTCCAGTTTGCTTTAATGCCACCATATGTATTTGGTGACAATAAAGTAGGTTAAGCCTATAATTCAGTGGTATCATTCATGTATCATGAATAGATGTTGAGCAGCTAATACTGTATACTGTGTGTATCATCAGTACAGTCTTATACACTGGTCTTGAATGTAAAATATTTTTAATTTCTTTTAAACCTGCTGGTGTTATTGCTACATGAACTGTATTCTGTAGTCTGATGAAAATGTACTTTTGTTGTGAGCCTGTTATTTTTACAAGAAGTTATATTTTACTGCAGCTAAACATTAAATAAAATATAAAACTGCATATTCCACCTGCTTTTTCCATCTTTACTTCAGAATATTTAGAGATATTATATTTTTGCAGCCACCGTAGCTGTATTTAAAATAGTTGCAATCTGCAACTGAAACCAACACACTGGTCCTGTAGTCCCTGATTTCAACGCCCTTGTCTCAACCTCCTCTTCAAAGCATGTAGAAGAAAGTTTGGTGGCTGTGAAACTTGCAAAAAACATGAACGGCGATATCTACAGCCAGTGTTTGGTTTGTCCATCCTGGACTACTGTAGAAACATGGATGTTCATCATGGTGGACTCCATGGAAGAGGACCTGCAGCACATGTAGATATAAACAGCTCATTCTAAGATAACAAAAACATGATTCTTACTTTCCTTATCCACTAATGAAAACATACCTCTGAATATTGTATTCTATAGATCCTCATAAATGTTACACACTGGACCTGTAAGCAAGTTAGTCTACTGTTTATTCCTTCATTGTGTGGCAGTGCTGGGCCAGCAGTCTGTAAGCCTGAGTCAAGTGTAACTTCTTCTTTTGGCAACAGATCAGAACATACTGGTGAAAAATGTACCCCCGTCCACCTCCCTCCCAGTTATGTGCTGGTCTCTTTTTAGAAGCCAGTGGAATTCCCAGTCCAGTCTCAAGTAACTCAGACCACTTCATCATTGTATAATGCCTCACTCACATGAATGTGTGTGTGCCAAAACATTAATGTATACCTTTTACAGCTTGGAGTCACTGTTGTGAAAAAATACTGCAAGACACCTCAATAAAATATTTTTTATAGATGATAGGCTGTAGATTACTCAGGTGTTAACAGCACATGGGCCACTGTGATCCATTATTATTGGTCCAAAACAGACAAAGTCAGCAGGAATACAGAGGTTCAGGCTCATGAGTGATTAGCAATGCTGATTAAATACATATTACGAGTGACTGTAGGCTGAAGCACAACAAACAATTAAAAAAATTATATCAAATCATTGCAAGGGGGATATAGTGGTCTGTACCAAATTTCAGTTCTTTCTGTTGAGCCTGATGCCACCGTGGATGATTTAGATGAAGGCCCTAAACAGGACAGTCTCCACACCTCCCCAGTGAGCCTGTTTGGGAGTAAGAAGTGATGTTTCCTTGCTGCCTGGTACTGGAGAAGGGGATGGCTGGAGTATTCTGTGAAAGCAGCTTTTGGATGCAGTTTCGGCCAATGTAAAATGTGTATTTATTTACACCTACGGGCTAGATTTAGATTAGATGTTTGCTTTTAGTCAGATTATTAGGAAAGCAACTGTTTTTGTGATTAATCCTCAAAGGTTTCTCCTGGGGAGCTTACCCCTGAACGGTTTCACATTCTCTGTGCCACTCTGTGCCTGTAATTTGGTGCCCCCCTGGATATTTGTTCCAGCTCTGACAGTGAGTAGAGTGAGACTGGTACATTAGGAGATATCAGCTTATTGCCGGTATGTCAGTATCTGTGTATGTGTCGGCTCATAAGTACCAACAACTAGCAGTACAGAAATGTTAAAGATGTGCTGAGTAATGAGACAGATTTAGACTACCAGAGAGCAATGAAAAGTTATGATTGTCATTATTTATTTATTGTGTTTATTAGATAGTGACAGCTTAAAATCAAATTAAAAAATCTAAATAAAGCCATTTGCTACAATTTATAAAGCCTTTACAAAGGATGTATTGATCCCATAGTGTCCTTTTATGAAATGGTACCAGCACAGACGATATGCAGTATTCAGTGTGTTGTATTATTTAAAGGTTCCCTGGTGTTCATTAAACTTCCATCATAATTACTAAACATTACACTGGACCACTGTGTGGCACATTGTAATGTACCCAGTGGAGTAAGCCTATATGTGTTTTTGTCAATATTCTTCAGTGTCACCAAGATGAATTCCTGCAGATTTATTGCTCTTGCACTGAAGTTATTCTGATCCGATGTCATATCAAACACTGAAAATAGACTTTGCTCTTGAATTTGGAGATAACTTACAGCTACCAGCATCCAGCTGGTCTCATGCCTCTCTTGAGTTACAAATGCTGAAATTCTCCGTCTGGTGTGGTGCTGTAACGTAACTTAATATACAAGTTGGAGGACTTGATAACCTTGCACATGTAACACTTATGCAACAAGAGCAGTTGGATGCAGTTGGCATCTCTCTGATTACAGAACATATGTGAGTGATGGTACACTGATAATGACAAGGTGGGTAGGGCAACTCTTTTATGAGCTACCCATCATGCCTCAGTGGAAACTGGGGAAAGCGAGAGCAGCTTGAATGTGGCTTGTTTGAGTGGGGTACGAAATGCCAGTGATAATAGAGGATCACAAGCTTCAGACAGAGTTACAGGATTAGAGGGCAACTCCAGAGCACAAACTGTCCACTACACATTGTGCAGGACTCTTATGTCTGAAAGAATATGAGAATGTCACATTTATAAAACAAGATCAACAGTGAGGCTTCGATTTCACTTGCGGCGACAAGCCCGGGATGCATGCCTGAAAGTTGTTTGCAGAGTGTTTAGCAGCCAGCGTGAGTGTGATGAGTTTCATTAGAGACCAGCAATGTGAAATCACCTCTCTGCTGTGTCACAAAGGAACCAGAATCTTAAAAAATATAACGATAATATATATCCAATCATGCAGCAGGTAACATTCATACTGAAATATCTTTTCAGGCAGCATTGTCAGTGGCTTTTACCAGTGTGTAGAATTTAGCAGCATCTAGTGGTGAAGTTGCAGAATACAACTAACTGAACACATCTGTTTTTGATGACCTGGGAATGAAAACTGGCTGTGAAGTGTGTAGGAGCAACTACAGTGGCTGCGAAACTCGTGAAAAAACGTGAAAGTCCCGATCTAAAGCCAGATACAGCTACTGTAGACACCTGGCGGTTAAACTCCATGACTCCATCGAAGAAGACCCGCCTCGTCTGTAGGTGACAACGGCTCATTTTAAGGTAACAAAAACACAACAATTCCTATATTCAGGTGATTATACACTAATAAAAACATACCTATGAATATTATATTTAATTTCTGCCATTAGATCCTCCTAAATGTTGCACACTGAACCTTTAAGATCCTTGTTTGAGTGTGAAAACAAATGGAAACCAAACATCACATTAAGTTATCTATGTATATAATATTTATCTAATTTAGTATTTATTAGATCTATTTTCACAAGACTAACAGTCAATGCTAGCAGCTTTTAAGGCTGTCGGTTACTTACTAAACGGTAACGTCAGCATCCTCACAATGACGACGCTAATGTGCTGATGTTTAGCAGGTATAATGTTCACCATGTTAGTTTAGTGTGTTAGCAATGGTAACATTTGCTAATTATCAGTAAATACAAAAGACAGTGCTAGAGGAAAAGTTGTAATCCTCTGGGAACCATGAATGTCTTCAAACTTTCAATCCAACATTTTAAGATATTACCCCAAATAAAATACCAGAATGTGTGTGATGTGATGGCAGGATACTATTTTCTGAGGGGATATGAAGTGAAGCACACTCTCAGAGAACAGAAACTCATAACCAGTGTAGATATATAATATATTCGTGTCTTCAAGGTTGATTCCACCCTAAAAATGCCATTTTTAGAAATGCATTTTAACCAAGCCATATGACATCCCATTCCTGCCAACTGATCCTCCTAAATGTTGCACACTGGAGCTTTAAATCAGGAGAAGGGAAGACGTTTTCCAGGTTTTTTCTTTGCTCCTGTAGGTTTTCTGTACGACTCACTGACAGTGACTTGCACTGGCCACTCAGTCTGGGACGTGATGTACTGAAGGCTATTCAGTTTCATTTTATGTTGCTCGTTGGCAAGAGTGTAAATATGGATTTGGCATTAGATTTCTCGCCAAAAAAAGGGGGAAAGGGTTTTAATCAATGATGTTTTATTACTGATCAATACCCACAACAAAATTATTTTAGAGGGAAACAGTTTGGTCTGACATCTTGATAGGAAACACAGTACAACAGACTGACATTTAATGTATGTTTAATGTATACACTGCCAACATTTACTCTTCTTAGTATCTATGTACTGTACGTTACAAGTACTTGTACTTTACTCCAGTATTTCCATATTATGACAATTGATACCGATTACATTTCAGAGGCAAATATTGTACGTGTTTACTATATTTAGTTAATAGTTGTCTTTCAGATTAAGATTTCTCACAGGAAACATGATCAGCTGATAAAGTATGATTAATGGTGATATTTTAAACTACCAAATAGTATATAAAGCTAAAATTTTAATTTTAATACATTTGTTTATGTCTTATATGTATATGCTCTCTATGTAAATTGGAAAACCATCTTCCAAAATAGACTCTTATAAGGAAATCTAAACACCCACAGTATTTAGGAATCATAGAACATCTGAAGAGCTATTTATAGGTCTGTCTTGGTGCAGATCTTTTTTTAAGATCGAGTCATATTCAAGAGGCAACATCAGTTCCCGCTGGCAGATTCACGCAGATACACACGACATGGAGGTGTGACTTCTGCTATTTAACATCAGCGTCTTGGGTTTTAGGATATGACATTTAAGCCTAGTCTGCGACAAGTTCAAGAGTTCAAAAGTTCAAAACTAACATTAGCTTTCACCCTGTAAACACTCTGAATGGGTAGTAACAGATATACAGCATAAGATGAGGCAGTAGTTCCTCGATAGAAATGAGGGGTCTTGTAAAGACCACAGATCCTGCATGTACTCTCTTCAGAGGAGTCATATCTCGTCCCTAAAGATGGTGACAGGACAGCACACAGACTGTCTGAACACTTCCAATAATAGCCACAACTAAAATAGACAGTCATCACATGAAATCAATAATGCCACTTAGATATGACAGAAAGCCCTGGCCGGCCGCCCACACACTGAGATTATCCTGACACTCATCACTCTGAGCTCACTCCTTTGGCTTTCACCTGGAGCATTTTCTCAACATATAACAAATGTCAGCTGCCCAACGTGGAACTTTATGCATGAAACGTGCCCGCATTAAAATGTCTGATACCCAGAGGAGCTACTTGAATCAAAAGGAGATAATCAAATCTAACGAATTAAGTTTCAAAGGGGCTTGGAAGTAGGCATAGTGATTATGAAAGTGCTTGGGTCGAGTAACAAACTGACGAGTACTGCCATCCAGTGGCCGTACAGTGACACATCTGTTTACACGGCTGCTTCCTTGCTAGAGAGAGAATCCTAGAGATTGACTATATAATTCATAAAGAATCTTGCAGTACATGTATATATTCACATTGTTTGTTTATGTTGTCAGTAAACACAGATGTTACCAATAATCTAATGAAGGCTCTGTTCCATTCAGGTGTGGTCAGGGCGCTGCTATTGTACGTGTTAATGTGTTTTAATTAGTATCATTGATAACACCTGTGTTCACTCTATTTCATTTAAGCCTTTGAACTATTGTAACTTTTCCAGGTAAATAAAAGATCCACGGTCATTTTTATTGGCCGAGTGTGCAGTCACTACCACAATTATCTGCACATTGTGTGTGTATATTTCTGTGTTCATGCAACATTTCTCACATGAACTATAAAGGAAACCACTTGTGTCTACTTATTGTAAGGAAGTAAATGCTGTCTGACAACTTCCACTTTTGCCCTGTTTATTCTTAACATGTGATTATTTCAGTCCAGCTTGAAAATAATCGATTTAAACACCCATTTTGAAGAGAAAAGAATGATTAAAGGCTGTTCAACAGGATTACATTAGCATACCAGTACACTACTAAGTGTCTGTACCACTGACTAACCCAACATCTGCTGATACTGTATGCTGTGTTTGCATACTGATAGCAGCCTGTACATGCATTTTCCAGCAACCACTTTTTGGATCTGATTTGATCCAAAAAGTAACAATCATTTTGAGTTAAAATACACCTTTTAGTGAAGTATAAGTGCAACAGAGTCTCAAATCAGAATAAACAATGACATAAAAAAGGGGGGAAAAAATCACTTACATCTCAAATTATTCCCAAACTGCTAGTTATTTCAACCTGTGGACGCTACAACACGTGATTAATTTACCATTTTCATAACCAACCACTCAAATTATTTGAAATAAACACCTTTAATATAACATGCATAATTCACAATATCCAACCAATGCCATTTGTTATTGCAACAGGGAGTAAATGCAAGACAATGCAGGAAAAAAATGAGGCACTATTGTGAATGCCACTCAACTGTCACTATACTCTGCTTTTAGGGTTATTATACACAGACTTGGTTATGCAAATTAAAAACATTACTACATGTGCAAAAACTTTAAGAACAAAAACTTAAGAACAAATTAAAAAGAAATATCCATGGATATGTTGCCGACACAAAGGCTACGTTCAGACTGCAGACCAAAGTGACTCAAATGTGATCTTTTATTTGCTCATATGTGACTCAGATCAGATTTTTTTGTCATGGCACAAATCACATGAAATCTGATTTAATATACTCTAGATAGACATTCGTCATACATCATGTGACCCTGAAATCTAGTTCAGATCCTAAAAAATAATGTGAACAGCCAAGAAAAAAAAAAAAGATCAGATAAGAGCAACAAATTCAGAATTGAGCACTATGGTTTGCAGTGTGAACGTAGCCCAAGTTGGTATCTGGATATAAAAAGTGAGCACAAATGAATGCTTATAAACCAGACCATGGGAGGGTATTGGGCGTTCTAAAACTGGGACCAAGATTGTTGGTGGGCATCATCTCCGTTCTGCTGAGAAACGAGACAAAATAAGAGTTAAAGAACAAAGAAAATGTGCACAAACGAGTGCTAGGGGCAGACTTACTTTTCATTCAAGACCGTGTTCACACCCCACACAAATGGAGCAGCAGTGTCATCAGCTTCTGCAAGACACAAAACACTCTGTTACCTTTACAAGTCTAGTACAAACTCTGGTTCAGAGAACTGATAGTTACCAAATTAAGACATGCTGAGAGTTGAATCAGGAGTTAGCTGGAAACCGAGGAAACGGCAAGTCTGGTTCCATCTAAATGTAATCTAACTAATCAACAAGTTATATCTCGTTTGCCCAGTCCACACATCCAAAGTTGCGGTTATTAATACTACCTTTGTCCCAGTCCTCAGTCGTGTCTGAGTTCACCCAAGTACTGACTGGGACCTGCCATTTACAATATCCATTTGTGCTCGCACCTGCAAACAGAGCACAACTCCAATCAGAAACACTGTAAGACGTAACACGTCGACTCTGCGGCGTAAAGAAAGAGACAACCAAGTGATAATCTTACCATCTTCAGTGTCCACAGAGATTCTGTCCTCACAGGTTTCAGTATGGTATGTCAGCTCGTGCTTTGGGACCAGGTGGCGAGCATTGAACGGGCAGGTTTTTAGCTCACTGGCCAGTTTCGGGTGATTCTACATCAATGAGAGGTCAGTTAAACAACACTCAAACTTACAGTGTGATGATAGCAAATAACCCGACTGAAAACTCAAAACTGGTATTCCTGTAACCTCCGCACTCAGCCTGTTACTCCGTGAACTGAATCACGACACAGACTAACAAGCAGACTGCAAAATATTGGACGGCAGGATTTATTCCAGGGCTGCTGTATAAGACTTTTAACTAGGTATACATAAGAAACTGGTGACTGAGTGTAAAAAAATGAAACAAAAAACTATACGTAATACATATATCCCTGCACTCTAAAGGCTAAAACACACTGTGCACAGTGCCGCCCAAAGAACTGACAGGAAGTGCTTGTTAATCTCCTGGAGCTGCTCAGATTTGTGATAACAGCAGATCTGCATTGATGACAAATAATCCTTTGCTGTCACTGCCCAACGCTCGTACCAATTTAAAACAGAAGGTGGCATAGTCTTCTCATTTAAGCAGGACTTTAACCTTTTGAACTGTGAAGGCCAATTGTTTTTTTTTTTTTCATACTAAAATTGAGACACAGACATAAGACTTTAGCTTATAAACACGTGTGGACACCACTATTTAAACTCACCTAAGGTCTCCCAGGGTCTAGCTGCTGCCAGGGTGGAGGCTATTAGGGTTGCACAATTAATTGAATATAATACAATATGCATATTTTTTGATAAAAAGGTAAAATGTGTGACAAAATTGAATAATATGACGTATAATAAAATGAAAAATAATAACTTAGAACTACAGTTCTGTAAAGGTGACCTGGCCTTCAAACTGTGTTCTCCAGATTTAAGAAAACATGTTTGTTTGGTGGAAATTATCATTATTTTAATCATTTTTTCCTGTGAAAATTAAATCTGTGACAGAAAAATGATCGCTCGCACACTACTCGAGAATCATGTTGTCATATGTGTCAAAACAATGAGAATATGATGTTTTTGCCACATCAGGTAGCCATAGGGCTGATACTTAGAAAATAAATAGGGGCTGTTTGGCTCCAGTGTGTTTGAGCTTTTATTCAATGTAATCCTACAATGTTTTTTTTTCATATTTGTTAGTTAGTTAAATAAATAAATAAATAAATAAATAAATAAATAATAAAGGGCTCGACTCACCTTCCTGCACTTTATCAGATGGTAAGGGAAGCGGCAGGCCCGGATCTGGTGATTCTTGTCAAAGGGGCACTGCAGAAGTTTCTCCGGGTCACAGTTTCCCTTCTCATCTTTAAAGTTAAAGAAGAACAAATTTATACATTTTACCTTTTAATAACATTGGACTATAATAGAAGACAACTTAAAAAAACAGATGCTGTGGAAGAATATCTTTTGCATTACCAGCGTCCTCTGCCACCTGCATCCTCTCAGCAGCGGCAGACGACCTGTGCGGGTCGCTAGTGGTTCCAAATCTTATGGTGGTCGCCATTTGCAGCTGGGATTTACTTCACAAACTGATTAACTGGGGAGCTCAAGGATAAGATTAAAGTTAGCTGAATGCAAAAAAAACAAAAGACAGGAACAAATACTGACAGGTTGCTGGATCCACATGAAGAATTTAAAAGCTGCAGAACCATGGCAACCCATCAGATCATCATAAATCTGCAGGATTCTGTCCATTGGTGCAGGTAACCCCTCAGCTGTGCAATATTCTAATGTGTGTTTGTTTGCTGGTGTAAGTTTGTTGTGAACAAGCAGACCAAACCACATTATCAACAAGCAAAAAGAAAAATATATTGAATAATGGAAAGAAACGACCAAAACACAAAGTAAATTACAATGTTATCTGACCCTAAAGAGAGAACTCACACTGGCAAATTACCTGAGCACAATAAAATGTCCTAAACTAAGAAAAATGTTGACAATGTACAGACTGAGTGAACACAGCCTGGCCATAGAAACGGGTCGCCACAGACAGAACTGGCTACCAGAAGAGGAGAGACTCTGCTCCCAGTGTGACAGAGGACAGGTAGAGACAGAGCAGCACTTTCTAACCTCATGCCCTAAATATGAAACCTTAAGAGAAAAACACTTCGCAAACATTTCCCAAATATACCTCGAATTTGAATTTATATATTAGACACACAGAAACTCCCCTATTTACTGGGAGAAATGCCCAAATGTCAAATAATTGCAGCAAAATATGTCTCCTCATGCCACAAACTGAGAACGAGGAAACTCAGACGGATAAATATATAAAATAAATTATTTAAAAAAATTTTTTTAATCATTAATTATGTATATACATACATACACTTACTATTTTATTTATTTATTTTAATTTTAAAATATTTTATTATTATTATTATTTTACTTTTTATTGACAAACACAAACAACTTTTACTGTTTTATTTACTTATTTAATGAAATGTATGAAATTGTTCTTATGTGTTAATTTACTTGTAGCTTCGGCAATATTGTTGTTTTACATTCATGCCAATAAAGCCGATTTGAATTTGAGTTTATACCAAAAACATCTGCACAAACTTGGATTTAGTGCGACTGCAAATGCAAAATAAAATAAAAATAAAAAAAATAATAAAAAAAGAGCATCACAGGGTTTTTGCTCTACGTATTTCAAAAGGGTTTTAAAACACGACTTTAAAATAAACCATTCATAAGAAAGTGAAGAAAGAGGGTTTTGTGATTAGTGGAAACTCTCTTTGTACCTAGATTTAAATCTAAATTAAAAACATTCCTAAAACCGTGAATGCGGTTTTAAAAGTTTGCTAACAAAACACGCGTGTCGCCCAGCTCGCCAACAACGCGACTATGATTCAAACTGCGTGACAACAAAAATTAAATTACACGTTTAAATGACTAAAATCTTAACTTTACGTTTCAGAGACTGCTTTAAATACAACATTTTATCACTTAACTTACCTTTTCCCTGTTAGCTTTGTGCTAATCGCTGAAGCGAAAAGATTTTTTTTTAAAAAAAGGTTTTAGCCCCGCCCCTCTGTTATTGTCGTCACGCGGACACACGTGACTTCCCGTTTCAACAACAACATTGAAATTAACACGTGGTAACTTTTATCTCACAATCGCCTTGTTAAAGTGTGTAAAACATATAAAAAGGAGGCCTGACTGACCTCTGGACATAAGATACTTTATTGAGCCCACATCGGGGAAATTAACTCGTTTTCAGCAGCTCCAGATGTGTAACTCAGCAGATAAGACAAATAAAATACACATTAAATAACAAAATAAAATAGAAAAGAAAATACAAGATTTCAAGGACAAGAAATAGAATTTGGGTTTTATGTTCAGACAGTATGATAATACAGATTTAAAGGTAAATTATAATAATAATAATGCACAGGTTACAGAGGGAGGTAGTGACGTGTTGTTGAAATAAATAATAAATAATTATACTGGACAAAAAATATATTATATAGAAATTATTTCACAGGGCTATGAACAGAAGTAAGAAATTATTTATATATATATGTATATATGTATGTGAGGACTATACAGGTAGTGCAATCGAAAGAAATGGGCTATAGTATAAAAATGACTCTCGTATTGTTGCTGAGTTATGGACGTGGTCTGGTCATAAATGTTGTTTTAGTGATGAGTAAATACCTCTCCTGTGTTCAGTGCAGTGGCGGAAGAAGTATTCAGATCATTCGCTCAAGCAAGAAGCAGCAATATGACAATATACAATCCCGCATTCAAATAAAAGCATCCCTTTGAATAGCAGGAAAACTACTGAGTTGGGACAGTGTTTCTATCAGTCCTGGATATTACTGTGATATAATCTACAGACTAGACTCAGATTCATTACTGGAGATCCCTCACTACACTCACTATTGCACTTTGTACACTAAAGTTGGTTGGTTCCTTCCTGACAAAGAAGCTTAAACAAGCACTTTTCATCCATAAATGCCTTATTGGACATTTGTTCTCCTATATAACATCTATGCTGCACTGGACCTCAGGACCCCTATAAAACTCTACTGTCTTGAGTCCTGTTGGTTTATTCTGAACTTGGAAAATCTGCCTTAAGCTTCTCGAATTGATTGATTGATTTATTTTCTTCTTCTTTTTTAATCTTAATTTTATTTTATCATGATTTATTGTATAAATAAACTTACATTAACTTAAACTTCTCACTGTAAATGAAGGAAAACATCAATGATTCTCGAGACTTAAATAAAGGTTTTGAATTAAATTTGAACTGAAAAGTAAAAACAAATAAAAATTTGTGACACAATGTATAAGTGTGTGAGTAAAAGTAGAAAATTATTGATATACAGGCTGCTTTGACATATGGTAAATACATGATTGTAATATTTATTATATTATATTATATATTTGTTTATATCTTAAATAATAATCAAGATTTTAAAAATAACAATTTGATTTTGTTCCCTTAACAAACAAATGAAATACTGAGACAGGCCTTGTATATTTGTATATTTCACCTTAAAATTAAGAAGGCCTTGTGTGTATAAAATAAAACTGTAATTATTGTTTTCTGCTCAAGACACCATAACAAATAGTTGTTTGCTTGCTGTTGTTACTTGAGTAAATAAACTTACCTGTAGTTACCTTCCAGCACTGATTGTATGTTTTAAATTGTTGTACTGTCTGTACTCCCTCATATGATTACAATAATGTAATTGGAACAAGAATAATTGGCTATAGTTGTGATTGATAGTCTAATAACTACAATGGGCAGTAAGGACTGCAGAAAGAGTCACTGGTGCCAACCTGCCCTCCATTCAGGACCTATACTTGTCCAGAGGAAGGAAACAGGCAGGAAACATCACTGCAGATCCATCTCAACCTGGACACAACCTGTTCCAGCTCTCCCATCTGGTAGGCGCTACAGAGAACCTGTACGCCAAAACAAACAGACACAGGAACACATTTTCTCTAACATCCACTGTACCTGTAAACTATTTACTACACTTTATTCATTGTTGAAATTCAGTTTCTTTTCTTTAAACATAAACACAGCCATTCAAACACATCTACTTATACTGTGTATTTTAGATTAGAGTTGATTAGATTCAACTTTATTGTCATTGCACAAGTACAAGTACTAGACAACGAAATGCAGTTGAGCATCTAACCCAAAGTGAAGTGCAGAGTAATGTTTGATGTACAGGGATATATAAATATAAAAAATAATAACATTATAGATATTTATATGTATGAATATACTAGCAGGATATTTACAGTATGAACGACATTAACAGAATGAACGGAGTGAGGTGAAAATACTAAGATATACACAGCTATTAAGTTAAGATATTTACAGTGTGAACAGATTAGCAGTAAATTATATAGTGCGGATGTAAGTACAAGTATTAAATTGGTTGTACATTATACATTGTATACTGTATATACTACTATATATATCCATCTACCTCAAGTACATTAACAATAAACCTTATTTCAGCATCCTCTGCACTATTGCACTACTGTCTACACATCTTATTGTTTTGTTTATATATATATAAATTATATATATATAATGTACTGTATATACTATACATTGTAGTTTATGTCTATTTTGTTTAGCTTGTTTATTTATGATTATGTGTGCACCAATGAAAATGATTCAAATAATTCTAAAATATTAAAATCTAAATCAGAATCAGAAATACTTTATTAATCCCAGGGGGGGATCACTTTCGGTACATATACTCCAGATGTAATAGACAAACAATATATTAATATATAATTTAAATGTGCAAAATGTGCAAAAATATTTAAAAAATAACTGTACAATAAGATATTTCTACCAAACAGCCATTTTATAGCTACTGACAATAAATAAAGCTTTAAAAACAACTTGAATTCACTTGCAGTTTATGGACACTACATTACAGACATTACGGTAATTGAATATAATTTTTCTTTGGGGGCTGCTGCACATGAGAGTCATTACGGTAACTACAGTGACAGTGTCAAACATGGCGCTGTCCTGTTCGAGCCTGTGTAGCCATTTGTCTTTGATCCGTCTGTGTGGTCTCAGGACAAACAGGATAACAAATGTCCTTTATTCTCCCCGTGTGTCCTATCAGCCCAGGTATTTATACATCTCTGTGGAAAAGCTCCTTCTTATTCACTGTGTTTACTGACTGGAAGAGCGTCGCTGAAGCTAGCTCCATGTCTGGATGAGCTCCACCGTTTAAGAAACATTTAATCACATTAAGTCTTTATGTTGTATTTAAATTGTGGTGCTTTTCACTGTCATTATTAATGTGCATCCAGAACAACACTACCCAGTTATCTTGTAATATATCCAAACATCAGGAAACTGGAAGTTGATCATTTCCTGTATTTTACTCAATTTAAAGTCCTGACAGATGTTTTTATTATTATTATTATTATTATTGAGGAGTTATATGCATTCTGCTTTTACAGGTTGCCCCTGTGTAGATACTACTCCTCGTCCAAAGTTAGACGAGGTATCGGTCGATATGTCTCCTCCAGGCTCCAGAGGGCAAATAGCAAATATGAAGGTTTCCTCAAAAGGCGATTTCCCAGATTTTTCCAGCTCTACCACACTTTTGTGGAAGGTAAGTCCACTGTTGTCTCACCTCTGAGGTCCTCCAGGTGCAATGTCCAAAGAGCTGAAGCTGTAAGGATGAAGTAATGAAACTCTGGTCCCCCCCCACCCACCCAAAAAATGTCACATCATCATGATTTTAATTAGGGCTGCAAAATTAATCCAAATATCACAGAAGCTGCAATTAATTTAATAAAGGTCAAATTTGAAAAAGCAGGCAGAGTTATAATGAGGTATTAAAACTCTGGTCAACAAATCTTGTTCTCCAGATGTTTGTTTGGTACAGACCCCCTAAAACGTTTCATTTTTTATGCAAAAATCATAATTTACACACAAATTGTGAATCATATCTGTCAAAAATAATCACAATATGATGTTTCTGCCATATCGTGCAGCCTTAATTTTATTAGTGTTCTTCAGTGAACATCAGTAATCGTGTAAAGTGTATCGCAATATGCGTCAAAACAATAGCATTATTATGTTTTTATCACTTGGTGTGGATCTATTATAGACTAGAAATACTTTCTGTAAATGTCTGGGTTTGTGTTAGATATTTTTATTTATTTAAAACTTCATACTGGTTCTTTTGTTGGTTTTATAGCTACGTGTCTTTAAAAAAAAAAAGTAATTAAAGATCAAATTTGTTGCAGAGAAGCCTTAAATTGAATCTCAGTGACAAAAGTTTATTTTCTTGGTTACTGCAGACCATAATTTATTTAACTTCATTAAAATAAACCTAATATTCATGTGAATTTAGTGCAATGACAGTCACTGTGTAACGTAAATATATAAAAAATTAAGCAGTTTTATCTTTTTGTGGCACCACAGACTGTATAAGAAGTCAAAGGGGGTCAGGACGGGGCGTCTGTGGCTCAGTTGGTGGTTTGATTCCCAGCGTCTCCTGTTCACATGTTCACAAAGTTGCCATGAGCAAAAACACTGAACCTCATTTGCTCCAGACAGCCAGGCACCTTGCATGGCAGCTACACCCCCAATCAGTGTATGTAGAATGGTTATATAAATGCAGCCCATTTTCATCATCATAAACATATTTTATCTCATTGAATCATTCCAGGATTCAAGCTGCTGTTCCAAGATGCCAGAGATGTGAAGAGGATAAAAACGAGGATGTTCTCTGAAAAACTACAGTTCCAGGATTTGCCCTACAGAGACATGGAGAAACTCAGACAGGTGGGGTCTATTTACTGAACCACACAGAGAGAACTGGGTATTTTGCCTGGGCAGATTTGTTAATTATTGGATGAATCAGAGTAAATCAGATGCCTGAGTAGAGTAGTGTTCCTTACGGGTCAGCAGTTTCGTTTAGGACGTTGCCGTTGTTTAATTTCAGGTCTGTAATGTTTATTTTCTCATAGTAACTTTACTTACTTTACTTTTGTGTTGCAGTTTCGCAGAAACGTGGTCAAGGCGTTTCCACTGGTGGTGATATCCATCCCGCCCTTTGCCAACTACCTGGTTTTTGTCCTGATGTGAGTTCACTTTAAAATAAGCATGTTTTTAATTTTTAGTTTACACCCTTTGTTTCATATTCAGTGATGATCATTAAATAAATACTCCTTGTCCTACATTGTATTGAGTCTTCCTTCCTGTCCTGTGCCTGTTGATACATATTTTCCCATCACCCCTTGTGTCTCCCCTCTCTCTGCTACCATCCTGTCTGTTCACTGCCAGGTACTTTTTCCCCCGCCAGCTCCTGATTCCTCATTTCTGGACCCCCAGGCAGCAGGTGGAGTTTCAGGCACTGTACCACTCTCTTAGGGCCCGGCACCACTGGCCAGTTCTCAAAGGGCTCGAGAATACGAGCCGCCACGTCACAGACGGTCAACTGCAGCGCCGCCTTACGGACCTGTGCGCTAAAGTAAGTGAACGCATCCAGACTATTTGTTTGTACAGATACAGAACGGTTTGTATGTTCTTCTTTCACACATATAGACGACATTTACAACTCTGCTTCAACAGTATGGAGCAAAAAATGTACATTTGCTTTACATAAGATGACTAATCATCTGTACGCAAAGAGTCCGATTTATCTATTTCTTCTCCTGAACAGGCTAACATACAAACTCCTAGTGGTAGACGGGTAAAATATCTGTATAATTATAGATTAAGAAACCCCAAACTCTACTGTCAACCATCTAATAATGGATGTTAAATGTGAAACATGACAAGGGGCCCCAACAAGAGACTGCTTCTTTTGTCACAAGAGGTAAAAATCTTTGTCTCTTTGTTTTATGTTTAATCTTAATCATGAAAAGTAACTAATAACTATAATAGCTGTCTGCCTCTGAAATGTTGAAGGACTCGAAGTATAGAGTAGCATCTAATATAAATACTCAAGTAAAAGTACATACATACTCAAAATTGTATGTAAGTGAAGAACTTGAGTAAATGTTACTTTCCACCACTGGAACATGTTCGACACATCTGACCTGACACTTATGACACAAAATGCACTTTAATGAAGCTGACTGGAAAGATACATACACAATATACTTCGAATGACAAATTGTTAAGCCAATAATATTCATATAACTCTGAAACTCCACATTTCTCCACATTTGAATATACAAATATTAGTATATAATAGGATATATTAGTAGTATATATAGTTGTTCCTACATTTATATGGCTTTTAAAACTGGTGATTGCTTTTTGTTGGACGGCGCTACAGATGTTTGCCTTTGCACATTAAGTTGTTACGAGCTAAGATGTTCTACAGGCTAGTATGAAACTATCATGTAGTTGCCAAGAGCTCAACGACTTCACACATAAACTTAGTGATGCATTTAAAAACAGTTGGTGCAACCCAAGTTTGTTTGCTCCCTCCCACCACTTCAGCTATTAACTGTGTGAGCCTTTTCACACCTGATTCTCTCCGTGTCGCTACCTGTGACGATTGGTCTGGTATAAATAGTTAAAGGCAGATTGAATTATTATTATTATTATTATTATTAATTATCCTATGAAAAGTGGGATAAACTGACTTTCCGTACATTTTCAGGTGCAAAATGGAGAAAACCCCAAAGTGTCTGAAATCCTTGCCGTTCGGGCCTTGTTCTCCGGACCCCCTCTGGGTATAAAGAGGATGAGCGTGGATCACATGGTCGGTGAAATCCCCCCTGCTCTTCATCCTGCACACTCAAACACTCTCAAAAACTCTGTTGACATGAAATAGCGTTAAAAAAAAAAAAAAAAAGGCTTTGTGAACCTGAACACCAACCCATATCTCTTCTGTCTGTCGTCATGGCGAACCAGAGACACATCAGCCCCCTGCTCTTCCTGACGCCTCGCCTCCCGGGTTTCCTGATTGGCCGGCGGCTGAACAGCCATGCCCTGGAGCTGCTCCAGCTGGACCGGGCCCTCAGCCGGCTGGGCCCCAACCAGCTGAGTGACTCTGAACTCAGACAGGTCAGTCGCTCTGCACGACGTGGCAAATTTTGAATTCACTGGCCAAATTTATATGATTTAAAAATGTGTATTCATCTGTTACTTCTGTAATAAATATAAATAAGCGTTTCTCTTTGCAGGCTTGTTACATAAGGGGGCTCCATTCTAATAGTCTTGGCATTAATCAGTGTCGTGAGTGGTTATCCCAGTGGCTTCAGGTGTCATCCTCACTGAAAGGTATTTTCTTTTGGCTGTGCAGTATTTTCTTCAATGATATCCTGTTGACATTTCTGTTTTGTCTAATATATGAAGAAACAGTTCAAGAATCTTGGGAAAGACACGTATTCGCTTTCTTGCCCAGAGTTAGATGAGAATACCAGTTTGTATTGTACAGTTGGTATGGTTAATGTGGAGCTTACAGACAGCGGCTCTTTAGCTTGGCATAAACTGGTAACCTGGTTCAGCCTGAAGGTAACAAATTCTGCCTAAATTAAGTAGTAAAGTAAGGAAAATTCTCCTTTAATGCACAGATATGAGCTTAATATCAGTCTTCTCATCTAACTAAAATACTCAACCGCTACTTTAAACCTTTCCTATTGACATGTCTAAAATGTAATGGTATTTCTATGCCTTCTTTTGTTTAATTTTTTGCAGACTCAGAGGTGTCACTGCTTTTGCACAGCATTGTATTTCTCTCCGTCAACTACCCGAACAGTCCCAGCCGACACTGACAGGAAGCCTGAGGCAATCTGCTCTTCTGATTATATGCTCTCTTCTGAGGACTGGGCAGCACAGCTTCCTGAGAGCTGTCAACGTCTCGTTATTGCCAAGGAAAAAACAATTTCAAAAACTGCTCTTTTTGAGATTTTGAGGATTAATTATAAAATAAACTCTCTTAGCCCAAAACTTCAAAGGAGGTTTGCAGTCAAGAAAATAATCCCGTTAATTCTAGATGCCCAGTGTAAGTTATGAATACCTAAGAATATATAAAAAAAAAAACATACACCGTTAAGAAGATTTCTTTTGGAAGAGAAAGGATGAATCTATTGTGTCTTTATCAAGAGGAGTGATGTGGGATATTACTTTAAATTAGCAAGATAAGACACTTGCTTAGAGGAGTTCTCGTGTACTTCAGCCCCTCACGAGGGGACTTAAACCCATTGTGATGCACTGAGCTATATTAACTGGTGATGTTAAGGTAATATGCTGTTTACCTGTCGCTGTATCTCAAGCTTTGTCGCCACTGTAAAACGCAGACTCGTCGATTGTTTACTTCTAAGCTATTGCATCATTACACAGCTACAAAAACAGGCAGGGAAACAAAGAGGATGTTGTTTAGTAAAAGGCTCAGTTATATATTTCACTTGTGGAATGGTAAAATAGTTCAGACACATTCCATTCATAAAAAATACAAATAAGTATGTTGTCACACATTTACCTCACTCTGTGCTCGGCTCTTCTCTACAATGACCAATGCTGGTCATAGCAAAAAAAAGTTTTTAGGGAAGGAAATAGTTCTGACTAATATGGAACAAGTGGTCAGCATCCAAAAATCCTTAGATTACACAAAAGCACCTTTTCAAACGAAAAAAAAAAAAGAATCCTTAATAGAGATTAGAAAGAAAAAAGCCCAATTATTACTTGCAAAGACATTCAAGCTTGTGTGTGTGATGAGAAACTGAACTTTATTTTATGGATTAACCTTTTTTGGGGTGCAGCACCGCCAGCACGGCATTTACAAGCTGCGTGTAAAAGAGTTGTGATGGCACTTTATTGTTTACTTGATGTTTTCTTGCTTTGGAGGCTTTAAATTACATTGACACATCCTAGTCAGACCACACTTCGAGCTTCATTCAAGCTTTTTTTTTTTTTTACCAACTTCAGATTAACAGTAAGAGGAACTGCACCTCCCCGTGTGCTGCTGTTTGCTGTTGTAAGTTGTTAAATAGGAAATGTCATTTGCTTCCTGTGCCTTTTCGCAAGAACTGGCACAATATATCTGAAATAATATTTGCAAACGTTCTGTTCTGTTTATGATTTATTTTAAGACATGATATTATTTGTTCTTCAGGTTTTGAATCTTGTATTGCTGTGCCAATATTAAACACATTGTAATGGAACTGTGTCTGAAATAAATACCATTATGGTACATTTATGTCCCCCTGTTTGTGTTTACCCTTAAAGCAAATGCAGATGTAATTTAAACAGTCTTTAATAAAAACATAAAAACTTGGCGCTCTTAACAAGAACAAGCAAAGTAAAAGTGTGTTAGAAATCCTCGCCACCAATAAGAACATAACAAAGCGCACATTTATCTTTTTCTACTGTTTAGAATTCCTAAGCTCAAATGATAAAGTATCAAAGCGGAGATATAACCTATGAAAATAAAATCCAAAAATCAATACAAGAGAAAATGAATTGTTCTGTGCACTTTATCTGGAGTATAAGGACGAACAATGACGAACAATGACGCTCCCAATAAGTGTGATCTGAACAACCGGCTCCTGCCTCGGGGCGGGAAGCTGAATCACATGACTTCGTAGCCGCTGCGGATGCCTCTCATCAAACAGCAGGCGAACACAATGCCCATTATCTGGAAGGAAAACAATCACGCACAAAAAGGAGAGGACATTAGTGTTTCCGAGATATTATGTGACTGACATATAATAAAATCTTAATTTATATCCTGTAGCACTTTTCAAAAGCCAGGTTGAGAAGTATTTATAAGTCAGAAGCTAAAGAAAAACCACCAGATATGACAATAAAAATGCAATAAAGCAGTTTAAATTTAATAAGAATTAAATATAATGAAGTAATAAGTTAAAATGACAAATTAATACAAAAACCAATAAGTGTCTGGTAAGATAATCTTTGTAATACAACCAGGTTTTTTGTTTTATTGATGTTACGTACCTGCAAGAAAGCAATAACAAGGGCTGCAACTATCACCCACAGGAGGTTTTTCTTCAGTAAAGCCTCCACAGCATCATGGCAACCCTAGAACATCAAAAAAGAGAGAAAAGTTAGATTCAATCTGGACTTTTCACTGGTTCAGTTGTTATTTGAGAGACACGTTGCCTCGTGGTAAAACATTGACTTCTTTCTAACAGTTGTTTTGTTCACATTGACTTTACTTCCTTCCACACACCTCAATGCAGTATGTCTAATAATAATAATAATAATAATAATAATCATAAAATGAACAATATTATTTCCCTTTTCTTCCGACCTTATTAAAACCTGATATGTGGCAAAGCATTGAAGTGGTAACCCTTCACTTTGTCACAAACTTGCACATTTATATTGTCATAAAGTATTGTTAAAGTTGCTGTTATTACACCAAATATTATATTATATAATACATATATTTTTTTGTAAAATGGGCTATGCATAAACAAATATATTCCTTTTTGTTTGCCAAATGTTTGGGGTTGGTTACCACAAAGAGGTATAATTTACATACAGGACTCATAAACTGTATGTGTGTGTACACTAAGGATTAATATTTGTTTTCAAAAAATGAGACATTTTCTATCCTGGGAACAGAAGCACACTAGTGTCCTAGGACTCCTGGGAACCACACTTGTTCTAAGGTTGAACTTCGGCTGCAGTCAAAACGCATTGGTCACATTTCAAGCAACGCTAAAGGAGAAATATGCACGAACCTGTGGCCTCCCAACCTGACCCCTATAGTGTATTACTTGGTGCTGTTAATAATTATCAAAGCAAAAGAAATCCATTTACATTAATCATCATTAGAATGAAGATAATATAAAATTAAACTGCAGTGAAGCTTTCAAAGATTATAAAATGTTCATTGTTTGTGATCCGAACAGCTTCATGGAAGTGATATTTGACAATTATTCATTGTACAGCCTGAATCAACTAAATTTGTTCAAACAAGTAATTTGGCGTTTTCAATGTCATTCAGTTAAGCTGAGGCAGTTCTAGTGTCACCGCCCGGCCAGTCGGGTCTGATATGCGTCTCTAATGTCCCGGCTCAATGGAGTCTTGTGCTTATTCATCCATCACCAACAAAAAACATCCATCTTCACTGATTTCAGGCAAGAAGTGAGCTGTTTTATATCTATTATAACAATGTTTGGCTCGCAGCAGCAGCCTCTGAACACAATATCTCTCAGCTTAATAGAATTACTTTGAAATCACCAAACTACTTGCTTCAACCACGAGGCTGCTGTTAGAAGACAGATCACAATGAACTGCTTGTTGAACCTTCGTCACATCTGATCACTCGTTCACACACTTTGCATCTTCATTGTTCAATCTTTTGAAGTATTTGTGGTAAATATATATTTGTGAATCTGGACAGGGTATCCCCGGGAATGTCGTTTATCAGGAATAAACCCTGGTGTACACGCCTATTTGACACAAAGCCACATTGTTATCCCAGTGGAGACGATGCTTCTGTCTAATATTTACTTTGGTGTCTCTTTAGCTTGGTTGATGTTTGACCTTCTCCAGAGACGAGTTGTTAACTTGCCATTTGGTGCTGGCAATGGCCGGCTGTTGTTGAAGATTGGGTTGTGACACTGACAGTGTAGGACTGCAGAGCTGGGTCATTATTTTCTGTAGGTTTGTCACAATCTGCAACTTATACTTCACACTTGGGCCGCCAAGACGATTTATCAGCCGATATTTGACCAGCGCTGATATATCTGTATCGGTGTGTATGTTTGCTGATATTGGAAATGAAATTGTGGTACAGAGATCCGCTTCAGGGAATTTAGAAACAGTGATGCTACGACATAATTAATTATTAATATAGTTTGTCCATCAGATACCACTGACAAGTTTATCATCTGTAAAATATCCTGCTCAGTATTCAATTCTGTAAAAAACAAATTCATGGGATTGTTCCTGTAATCAGCCTCACTGTTTACAAATCTAACCCTACATTTCCTACTGCTGTTGCGTCACATTCAAATGATTTAAATGTGTATTATCAGTCGCAGAAAACAGTATGTATTTGTCACAGAGGTTAGCGCTGACTGAGACTGTACAACAAGAATGTGTGTGTAATGGATTTTACTGTGCCCTGATGTGTGGAAAACTACCCGCACTGCATGCAGCAAGAAATCAGACTGCGGTTGCTCATGGCATGATGGGAAAAGGCTGCTTATTGACTGACTTCTTTATCAAAACAACTTGAGTTTGTTTGTCTCTTCTGTAAGATAAACCAGTTTTTCTTCTGTTTTTGGGAAGTAGTAGCTACTCAACGAGTGTTGGCTGTAGGACTAAATCATGGGTGTCGCGAAATCAACCAGAATTGAAATCAAGACCAAAAAAAGGACCAGAGTGTAGAATTTAGTGCCATCTAGCGGTGAAGTACGAAGAACGGGCTGTAAAGTGTTTAGGAGAAACTATGGTGGCTGCGAAACCCCTGAAAAAGGTCTCATCTACAGCCAGTCTTTGGTTTGTCCGTTCTGGGCTACTGTAGAAACATGGCGGACTCCATGAAAGGCGACCCGTGGCATCTGAAGGTAAAAACGTCTCATTCTAAGGTAACAAAATACACAATCATTCCTAATTGTAGGTGATTACACACTAATGTAAACATACCTATGAGCATTATATTCCATTTCTGCCAATAGATCCTCCTAAATGTTACACACTGGACCTTAAAGGATTGTCACTTGAACTAAATCTCATGTTCAGTGACTTTGCAACAACATATCGACCACTGGGGGTTTACCTTCAGGTACACTTTGGCAGCGTCCGTCATGGTCCCGACTCCACAGCCAGCAGTGATATTCTTACAGCATGAGTCAGGCACAGAGTTTCCCTCAGAACTGAAGATTTTCCAGTCGGAAGAACTGTTCACGCCACAGCATTTCAACTGGAAGTGCAAATAAGTCACATGAAACACATTTTTTATGGACATTACGGCCATAAGGTTTGGCCATGTGGTCACATGATGAACAGAGAAAAGGGATATAACTTGTGTCAACAGATGGTGCAAAGGAAAACAAAGTCGTGTCCTACAGGACCGACCAATAGGACCGACCAACAGGATACAGCACTGTTATGTGAAGGTGTTGTCAGACTAAGTAAACAGAGTGTAGGGGAGTTTACACTGAACTCACCTCCTCCTGCAGTTTATCCACAGTGTCTTTGAATTCAGCTGTGCCGTTCTCGTAATGCATAATCATATCAGTGAGACTATCCTGGACGACACCTGAGAGCTAACGTGGGTAGACACAACATAGAAGCCACGTTAAAACCACACCTTCTTTATTAAACACACACAGAAAAAGTGAAATTCTACACTCACTTTGTTCCTGAAGACGTATCCAGCGATTGCTGCTGCAATCTCAACAATGATGATCAGTGAGAGAAAGATGGCAAACTGAGGAAAAAGTACATTATTCATTAATCTGTACCATCAAATCCCACCCAGCTGATAATTCAACCTCTGTTGTTGTGCGGTTTAACAGATAACACGCTTTATGCATTACCGTGGTGATCATGCAGTAGTTCTCTTTCCAGGCGCCACAGCAGCCGAAGAAGGAGATGAAGAAAATCACCACACCGACAATGATGATGAGGATGGGAACTCCTGAGGCCGCCGCGTCCTTGATGGTGAAGGTCTTGTGCAAACCCACCTGAACCAGGACTCCCACGACGATCAACGCTAAGCCGCATAACTGCAGAAAAGAGAGGGAGATTCAGTTTAGAGGAGAATTTGTACATACAAGTCTTTGGTTTGAGCCTGTAGTGGAAACTTTATCTGGCAGCACCATGGAAGTAGAAATAAACCGTAGTAATGTGGGTTTTACAAGCAACTGAATGCCTAATTTTGAAAAGTAACCACTTCTAAATACTGATGCTGATTGATCTGAATTCATGTGGTTTGATTTTCCATTTCCATTTAAAGTTTCTCCCTCTCAAAAACCTGTTGTTGTTGTTAGAAAGTTAAAAAATATGGATAAAAAAAAGTAAACTGTCATCTTAGTTTAGTGTGTTAACATGCTAATTGGCACTGGATTTGTCTGATGGAATTTGCTGCGGGCCTGAATTTGCTGTTGTGGATCCCTCTCTCTCTCTCTCTCTCCGCTGTGGAACGATTTACTGTGTGAGTGTGTAGGTTGTTCCAGGGAGCTGATTGGTTCCAGCCTTCGAGCTTAAAAGCTCCTGTGGGCTCTCTTCTCTCTACTTCCAGCCAACATGTTTCTGTGTGATATGTAATAGATCTGCTAACTGATGTAACAGCCCAGGGTTCAGTGGGGGTTGAGCTGTTTCTCCTGTTTTTGATTTAGGGGTTAGTGACTTGGTTTTTTTTTAGTTACGGTTGCTAAACTTTAAATAAACCTTTAAAAGAACTACAAACTCTGTTTTGGGTCATAACAAATGGGATTTGTTTGCAGGTATTTGGTCATTAAGTGTTGAGTAAATTGAAATTTGGACCGGTTGGTGGTGATAAATGAATAAATGAATAGTCATGGGAACACCAGCGTGAGTAGGATACATTGCCTTGGGGACCAAGAAAGACAATGACAGTGCTGGACCTGCTAGGACGGCTAAAAATACTTAAAATCACGTTTTTAAAATTAAAATAACAGATATAGACAGAAATATAAGTTAAAATACCAACTGGAAGGTTTAAAGATAGGAAATAAAACCACACAAATTTAGATATATTCTAGAAGGAGTATTCAAATTTCAACATTAAGTATTCAGTCATAATTAAATTAAAATTACGATGAGATAGTCACTTATATGCCTTCCTTACATATGAACATCTCACACAAAGCGCTAACACTAAATAGACGTAAGGAAGTTGGGACACTTTTCAGTTCCTGTGTGCAGATGTAAAAAGCGGTCAGATGATAAAATGTGATATCCACATGTCATTGTTCTGGGTGGGGCGACTATAACATTTCTTTGCAAACATTGTGTGGGTCATCTGTTTGATCGTGATCGTTTGGGATGAACAAGCTCTAAAGCAAACATTACAGCGAACTTCATATTGTTTACTTTGACAGGGCTTTTTCCAAAGGAGAGCAGGCGGTTCACTGCAGGTGGATACGACTGTGGTGGGAATGACTCACTTTGACGATAATAATCCTATTATTATTTTTTTATGACTTATTAATCAATTTTAGTGGAGCTAATTGTTGTATATATATATATATTTGTTATAAGAGTAGCATAAAGGGAACCGCAACCTGACTTTAATTACACAACCCTGCGTTGGAAAATGACAATTAAATAACCGTGTGTCTTTGAGGAAATGTATCCACTAGAGCTGAAACAATTGGTCGATTAATCGATTAGTTAATCCGCGGGAAAATAATCAGCAAGACACATCTTTTTGACCAGACATTTCCTGGTTCCTTCTTCTCAAACATGAGGAGTTTCACCTCTTTTTGTCTTACGTTAGGACAAATTAAATATCTTCAGATTGCTTTAATGTTGGCCGGATGACATTATGTTGAGATTTCTTCATTTTAAATTGTCATCGTAATTTGTTTTTGCTACTTTATGGGCCAAACAATTAATCAAGAAAACAATTAGCCAGACACTCAACCCTACTGTGACTCCAGTGTGAGCTTTTTCTTTTAAATGTATTTATTGGACATCAAACAGACTTTCACAGACTCACTCAAACATCAAACATATGACTTTCATTTCTCTCTTTATTCTACTCTGCAAAAGATTCCTGCAACACATTTCTTTCAGCATTACCATTAATGTGTACCTTATCATGAATACTGACTATGAATGTGTCTTAGAACAACAGCTTATATGACGACGCATAAATAAGGGTGTTTGGATGCGGAAATCATTGGTCAGGTCATGAAAATAGCATGAGGAGAAACACTGACTGCAAGGCGAGAATTACTGCAACAAGTTTGTATGAAACTGTAAAAAACCCCAGTGACTCAGACGTTGGCCTTCACTATGCATACTGATATACAGAGCTCCAACTAATGTTTATTCATTTTAAGATTGTTTATCTTCACTGCTCGATTAATCATTTAGTCCATAAGGTATCAAACTTCAAACTTTCAGGGGGAGGCGGGTTGATTAAAGGAATGACTTGGATGTATTTGGATGTAAATATTGTTTTGTTTGATAAATCAATGGTTTCTTATAAATGATCAAAATATGTGGCTATAACCTTGCTTGTATATTTATTTGTGAGTCATACTGAGATTATTTATTAACCTTTATGTCTCTATACATGTCACCACCTAAAAATAACCACATGATGCCAGGAAGTAGCACAGGATTGAGACATTATTCACCCTGAGGTTATCATAGAGGATTGATGACAACACTCTAACGCTTCCTTTCTGTCTTAACTGTTAACAAATTCTCTACAACAGTAAAAATCAAGTCGATGTACAAATTTACATTTAAGCTCCAGGGACAACAACAACGAAGCCAAACTGGTCTTACAACCTTTAGCTTTCATGCTGTTTTAAAGCAAGTAAAATGAGCAGAAATGCAGGATAAAACCAACATATTTACACTGGAAGGTTATCATCAGCCTTAATATCAGATGACCCATGATCATGTCATGTTAAGCCCTCGCTGCAGCTGACCTCTCCTTGTTGGCACCACCAATGCAAATATTTGAGCGTGAGTCAGACAGGTGGCTATTGATCGACGTAGGACAACATAAAGGAGTAAACAGAGGATGCAAACAGAGCAAAAGCAAATGGCGTTCACATCAAAAGAGAATTCAATGGAATAGAGTGATAAAATAAAACTGTTTATCCAGGTTGCTGTTGTATTCTTTCTTTCTTGACCTTAATTTCTTGAAGATGTGTAAAGAATAATCCTGAATGACCCTTGCAAGCATTTTGAGACTCAAGTCGAACCATTTTTAAACATAAATTACTGCTATTGCTTTTGTAATAAACTGAATATCTTTGGACGGGTACTTTAACCCCTTCTCTTAGCATTTATAAGCAGTATATAAATATTTAAATTAATGGTTTATAACACACTATAATGTAGTTGTGAGCAGCTATAAGGACATTTTTAAGGGTTTGTTAATGTGCAGTATTTGTCAACAATTATAACTTATCCTATGGAGACATATCTTACATGTGCTTTACTATATTATTATTCATAATCTGTTTATAAACTAGCCTCTACTTATGAATGTTTGACAATTAAATTATTAAACACATCTGCTTACAACCATATTATAGTGTTATATTCATATAATGCTCATCAGTGCTACATAGGGAGGGGCGGTTAAAGTAAAGAGTTACCATCAATAATAAAAAAAATAATTGTTAATTGCAGTCCTAAAAATGTGCACTGAGTAAAGAGAATAAATATATCTTTGTCATTGTGTACTTCCTCTTGTCAACTTCCTCCTGAGATGATTATCAGATTTGTTCTTGTGCCACAGAGTTCATTGTGCAAACACCACTGTGTGAAGCGTCGTCGAGTGACACTGTGTCAGTGAAGGAGGCGGAAAGAAAGAAAAACCGATGATCTAACGTGAGATGTGTCACATGATACAGTCGGTTACACTTTGAAAATCTGGTCATAAGATTCACATTCCTCGCTTTAAAGCACTCAAAACACAGGAGGAGGAGGAGGAGGAGGAGGAGGAGGAGGAGGCTGCAAACAGGTCATATTCAGGATAGGTTCAGGTAAGTCCGGGGGATTTGAGACGTCCTCGTGTTTATGTTCCTTCATGTTTTCATTAAATTTTGATATCAAACAAACATGTGAGCCCGTCTAGAAGGAATGAGGAATCCAGAAGGAGGATGTCACAGGTTGAGTGAGCGTTTGCTCATCAGCTGATTTAACAGATGATGAGCAAACTGTATGTTAACCTTAAATAAGGGTAACAAAAGCAAGAGTTCAGTCTTAAAAAAGTCACAGGGCAGGCAGTAATGCCACAAAACTAGTCCGGCAAAGACATAATCCTGCCAAAAAAGATAAGGTGCTTTATCTTGATAAGAAAAATCCCACAGGACAATGCACATACCTGGTTTTGTTTCCTGTTTGCCTGCTCTTTGCTTTCATTTTTCACCACAACAAGCTGCATTCACTTCTCTGTCACATTGTTGTTTACAGTTCTGTGTTTGTGTGTTTAAAGAAGTGGTAAAACTGCTACTCACCCAGAAAATAAAGTTGAAAAAGAAGATCAGGAACTTGACACATTTCATACCCCCCTCCACAGCCATGGCTGATGAGGATGAGTTTCCTTTAACATGAAAAAAAAAAAAAAGACATTTCATTTCAAGGCAGTTGTATGGACAATATAAATCAGCTGTAATATGAGCAGCAGCACCGGAATATATGAGTCATTTTAAGTAGGAACTTAGGGGGTTTTTAGCTGGAAAAGGCCTTGACCAGTCAACAGCACATGTGTGACGAAGCTGCGCATTTTATTTATCATTACAAACGTGGGTCAGTGAATCACACACGCTCCTATTGTTTGACTAACTCATTTTTCTTTAATATAATAAAAGACACAAAATCAAAGTTAAAACAGCAAACGAGCACTCAAATAGAAAGACAAAAAGTGGGGCAGGGCTGTGCTTCAAATTCGCCAAACAAATAAAAGTGTTAAGGTCAGTAAAGGCCTCACTAGCTGTATAAGAACACTTCGTCTGAGGCCTTAAAGGGATAAAAAAAAAAGCTCCGTTTATTTATTTTTAAGGGAATAAACAACCCCTGTCCCTGCCCCCCCCTCCTCCTGCCCCCGGACCGTTAACCACCAACCACCAAACAATACTATCTTTGTGAAAACCAGAGGGCATTTCTCTTATTGAATTAGTCCACACAGTTTAACCGACCGAGTTAGTTAACGTTAGATTAACACCACAAAAACAACGACGACATTAACTGACAATCAAACCGTCAACGGCTGACGTTCCAAAAAAAAAAAAAAAAAAAAAACGGTCAACGGAAGTTTAAAATCTTAACATTATAAGTGACTGAAAGTTCGCTAATGGCTAACCTTTTTTTTTGTGAAGAAAAGCCTTCGAGATCCTGCGATGGGAGGCGAGGACGACGATGTGTTGTAATTGTAGACTAACTTTTAGTGTTTATAGTCCCTCCTCCTCCCTCAGCTCCCGTCTCACTACTAACGTTACTCCCTCACCTCCCCCCCCCCCCCCCCCGAACTACTTCTCCCACCATAACTACCACATGCTGCGTTCGCGGTCTCCTCGTTAAACCCAGAACTGTCGCCGCCTTTCTCCCTGATTAAGACACATATTGTTTTGGGTATAAATATATTATAAACCCGATGAACTGTGTAAATATTGGTCAGAGATGAGTTTTCCTACTAGTTTTAGGGACTTTTTAAACAATTCTCTGTCTGTGTTATGTATTTTAAATTAAGTTTACACACTATCTAAACCAGTGGATCCTAACATTAGGGATCACCAAACCTTCACTTGGGGTTGCTTTTTAGATTTGAGAAGAAAACTTATATATTAAACATATATGCTGTAGGCCGAAAGAAAACTAAATGAAACATGTTTTATGTCTGTTTTAGGGAGAGATGAGCATTGGAAATTATCTGTCTTACATAGATAGATAGATAGAGCTGTAATAAAGAGCAGATAACATGCAAGCAGCGGAGGTTATTTATAACAAGAATTATGACTATGAATGTATTATAGGCTGTACTAAACATATAAACAGTACTGGAAGGCAGTGTGAAATATTCTCTGCATCTATTGTTATTCCTATTTTTGGGGATTCTAATTAAAATTCTGTTAAGTCATAGAGAACTGAAAATTGCTCCTAAGAAATACAATTCCTCAAACAGTTCCTCTTTTACATATTGAGTAATATCCTTTGACTGCTGAGTAACCGCCTCCTTGAGTAATATTTTTTCTAAATGACCACTGAACTTCATAATGCAGGAACCTGAGTCATGCTGCAATTTTTTTCCCACGTTAGGACATATATGAACTCTTTATTTATCACTGTGGGCATACTACAGCATTGTGTTTGGTAACTCTCAGTGACATGCAGCAGCAATAAAAAAAAAAAAAAGATATAAAGATATAAGTACAATGTATAATATGAAGAGTCTGGCCAAACTTTTCTATGCAAAGGCCCCAAAAGAGCATTAGCTCATCGGACGAGGCTCCCCTTTTGTAAGATGTGTTTAAAAACCCACTGACAATACTACTTATAGTATATTTCCTTACTTTTATTAATTTTATAATAATGCTTTCATTATCTTTCCTTAAATTTGCTGAAGCCCCACCTTGATGCCCCTGGCAGCCCCCAAGGAGGCCCCCGTCCCACTTTAAGAACCACTTCAATGGACTCAATCAATGACCACAGTTAGTCGGGCTGTAACCTGTAAGCTCATTGTCCCACAAACGTATCAGAAAAACAAACAACTGAGTAATTCACATCCCTGAGCATATCCTAATGGACAAATATCAGCGGTAGACTTTGTTCAGCGTAACATTTCACTGTGCACTGGTCTCTGTGTAAACAATGAAATAGTACTTTTATTTGACTGGTTTATGAATAAATGTGTGTGTTACAACTGGTGACACATATTTAGGGTTCAGCTTCATTCTCTCCGACCTCTAACCTCTTATACAGCAGCATTGACTGCATTACTACAGACGTATTTGAAAGTTTTCCCCGTCTGTAAACTGTGGGGCCACGGTGATAACAGCTGCGCCGTGTGGTTCAGCATGGCGCTTTAATGCCAGAGGGCGAAGGCAGAGCTGTACACTACGTAGTCTTGAGGGCCAGGGCGCCGTTTCCGGGGGAAGGCCCTAGACGCAGGCGTGAAAAAATTAAAAAAAGAACCAACGTGCAGAAGGTTGTGATGCATTTATGGTGAAACAGCTCGGTCGGGGTTAGAATTAACACCTTAGATAGGACTCTATCATGTTTTATCTACTATAGGGGCATCCAGGAGGGCACACTGGTGGCATTTTTTAGATCATGGGGGCAATAAGTGAATCCAAGGAAAGGAGGTAAAAGTGTAACTACCAAGATCGAGTGCAATACCAGCACCCTGGAACTGTGACACCCACATGATATTTGATCATAACATTTACAACCGTGCTTTTCATGCTATGACATGTTGGTTGTTGCCCCTCTTGGCTTGTTGTTGTGCAACTTATTTGAGCTACTTTTTTTTTTACCTGTACCCATTGTACTACCCTGGACTGTGTGAGGGTGCAGACAGTTTCAACCCGTATGGACATGTCCAATGAACAAGGGAGATCAGTATATCTGAGCATGCATATACTCAGGCAACCATTTATTATTATTGTTTTGCTTCATCTGTTTTTTATTGTATGTTGGTGGGTGTTTGTGTGTAGGTGTCTCTTATGTCTTCTGAACGCCCCACAGGGTTCAATCAGTGTTGGGTCCTCGTTCACTTTGAAAATAAATGATTTTAGGGAGACTCGTCCAATGCAACAATCAGTTACTGTAGCAGATACAGCAGCTTACATGGCTAAATGTTTCTGGCAAACTACTTTTAAATTGATTAATTTAAAGTTGCAATCACTTTTAGTTTTTTCAAATCAAATATTGCCACCAATTTACATAGTAATAACGTTTGATGGCTTCTTCGGTAAAAAAAAAAATGTCCTTGTTTTAATACTTTAGCTTACAGGTGGGTGTTTGTTTGTCTTTTTTCCTGATGTAACTAAGATAAGGTCAGTAGCTGCCACCTAGTGGTACAAGTGGTACTCAAGAAGATTATAAAGATGTAACGCCTCTGTCACTTGACTGCTCATTCTTGATACCTTAAAATCTATTTTAAGCCCTAATACTTACAGCCGACACTGTGTTTTCATAGGACAAATCCAATGGTAAACTTTTACAATAGGAGCTTATCTTTCAGCAGCCTCCGAATCTCTCCACGTATTTACTTACTCCACCAATGTCAAACTACAGGTGCTGCCAAAGGTACACAGTTTAGTTAAAGAGTTTCCATGTGGGCTCCACTATCTTAAAATTAACTACAAAAAAACTAATTTCAGTCACATCAGATTATTTTAAATAGAAAATCATGGACATTTAATTGACTGAAATGGGTAAAAGCTTTGCTTGTTTTATTTGTTTGAAACACACAAGTGCTACAATTGGTGCACCAGCAATAAACCTTCTTATCTGCATCTTTTTTCATTAAAGCACTTTGTGGCTGTATATAGAGATTAGAGATGTAGAGTGCTCTCCCATATAATAACAATTTCCTGATTATGGAAAAACATTTTAAATGCTGCAATGCATGTTGCCAATGAGGATGAAATAAAATTACACATCTGTTAGAGGTTTAAATTTGAAACTTAATGTTATTTATAATGTTAATGTGGCACCGTCAACCCCTGGGCTAAACAATACACGTTTCCATACACAATCACAGGACTGTAACCACAACTGTAGAAATACTGGGGTCATGATTCTCCCAGCAGAACCTCACCCATCTAAACAATTATATATAAAGTATGTATGTACAGGTATGTACTGTGTTATTCTCTTTTGTCTTTTTACTTCATTCTATTTTATTTAGTTATTTAATTTAAAAATATATATATTTCTAATACTTCTTCTTCTACTCTTATTGTTGAGTGTTGGTATTTATTATTTTTATATTTATCTTTATATTTATATCTTTGTATTATATTTATTTATCTATCACTTTG